CAGTTCCTTACTATCAGCCATGAGTGGAGTGATGAGGTCGGATATGGCCATGTTAAGAATGAAATAGTTGGTTGGTTTCTTCAAGTTCTTGTTGCTAAGGATAACAGCAGCAATGAGGATGTTTCCAAACAGCGACACGACAAGAATAACTGAATACGCTGTCATCYTGATAATCTTTTCTTGTTGGTTGGTTACCTGATTAGTGCAGTGTAGCGCCATGGGTGGTAGTTTTGCGGGATAATGATTAGTACCATTATTGCTGTTGTTGAACATGGTTGTTRCAGCTGAGGCAACTGCTGTAATGATCTTCGTTGTACGAACCACTGTGGTTGTAGAAGTAARAGCAGTCGTGGACAAATTATTCATCTTTGAARTTGAAATACTACTTTAGGTTTGGAAAGTCTTTCAGAGATGCTTGCYGAAGATTGCCTCCAATAAAAAGCAATCCTTACACAACGAATATTATTTCGACAAACAACCCTTTTTTCAAGACAGCCAATTTCATGAGAAAATCCCAAATTGAAAAAAAAAATTATTGGCAGACTAATATAATAAAGCGTTCGCGTGCCAATTCCGTGAATTTTGAATTTTCAAGTAAGTTTATTATGATAACCATGTTAGTTTGAGAATAATAATAAGCATTCTTTGATGCAAGAAACCATCATGATTAATATGATAGATCTCTTTTCTTCACTATTCTTTTTTTTTAATTCTTAAGAGCTTTGAGGTTATTTACTGATGAAAATGCTTAAAGCTCCCGCAAATGAGTCTCGAGTTATTACAATCGTCGCAATATTTGTTTAATTACATAGAATTGGACATGAAAATATCAGACAAATTCAGGCAATATCCGTCTTTTGCTAGTGTGCCAATCTTCTGTGTAATCATTACATGTTSAWCAGTTCTTAATGAATTAATTAATTACATCGCCTTATTTATCGTTTTTCAGTTCGAAAACCAATCATGTTAAATAAATGAAACGGTTACRTAAATGAAGGCTAGCAGATGGTAGCTCCAGTACGTCCCACCGCTACAAGKTTTCGATAACAAAATATTCGAGACATTTTTGTACCAGTGATGATTATATTAATTTTGTTATTTTACATAAAAATTGAAATGATAAGATATCARTGAAATATCGGCAACAGGAGTCTCCAGTTAGAATGCCAATGTCGATGTGATGATTATATGTTATTACATGGGCTTCCAAAGGAAGACCATGTCTTAAATTACCGACGTTTTTCGTCTGTGGTATGCTTCAAATTATATCCGGGACCTTTTCATTTTTGACATCTATTGTCTTACTGTCATTCATGTTTCTAAGCAACGATTCAAANCTTTCACTGATAAAATCAAACGTTGGTATGTAGATTATGTGATGCTAAGTGAACGTTGATGTCTCGCTAAGTGATATCATGATGACCTCTCAGGCAAAGAAAATAAAAACTTTACAATGAAAAAGATGCCTATAAAATCATTAAATTCGCCTTTCTATTTTTGATAAACAAAGTTTCTTCTTGTTCTAATTTGAAATCTTTGCCCCCACAAGACTGTCTAACACTAGACAGGATATTGATTCAGTCTTGTAAGCATACAACTCGAAACTCTATGCGATCTGCACATGCGCGTACTTCTAATGCCTAGACAGATGCATTCCGATGAGATCACAGATACCACATTTGTAAACGAATAGTTTTTTTGTCATATAAAAGCCAAGTAGCATATAACATTTACTAACGATATTCGTACATCAATACGCTTGAGCTTCCGGTCATGTAATAACACTGCTAACCCAATAGTTAATTATTAAATTCTTAACTTCCGGTGGTCCAAACGCGACATAATACATACCATAACAAAAGGTAAAACTAAAGTCGGACCCGCCTTCGGCTAGTCCGACTAACAATAAAGAGAAGAGCCAAAATAGTCTTCCTGTGATCCTGTCTAAGCTGTTGCAGCTCTTTAATTTTTGCCATTTCTGCTACTAGTCCAATCCAAAAAATAAAGTCGAGCACTAAAACAATGCTTACTAATCTACTCTGAGTGCAAAGGTTTAAAAAAAAATAAACACCTGACAAATCCAGCCAACCATGCTTGGGAAGTTTCCTGCGACTCAGCATCATGTTCTCGTCATCTTCTTCTTTAGCTACTGTCCTTTCGTTCTCTCTGTCACCTCTTCAAAGAATCGGAGTCATTTTCATAACGGTTTGCTTCATTTTCACTCTCCATTCCATTGTAACTTTCTTATAAAAACATCGAATCAAGAAGTCAAGTGTTAAGTCAGTGACGTCACTAACTTTCTCCTCGGGAGATACCGCAGTCTTTAGTATTTGGCGCTCAGATATCAAACCGATTAATGGAGGACGGATTTAAACTACTTTCGAAGCTCAATTTCTCATATTCTTCTGACTTTTTCGATAAAACAATTAGCCAGCATGCTTAGTTAGACTTCTACGTACTGGATTATGCAAAAAAACTTTTTAAAAAGAATTTTTTTTTCGTCGTAGCCGCACTTTAAGCGCAATTACGATGTTCAAGAAAACATGGCCATGTGCTTGACAAAACTAACAATATGTCCATGTCCGTTATTTTGTACAGCAAAGCATGATGGAAGATGCAGGTTTAGTACTTTCTGTGTTCGCTAAAGCAGTCCATCAAAAATAATTTTTATGTTTCGTCTTTAAAGATTCTACAAAAAAACATTTTCTTTGGGTTCATCAAAATGTGCGAGAAGTACAGTTAAAATAATCATTTGCCTACTGGAAAATTTCCCTGTTCTTGGAGGTATTGGAAATTAGGAGCTTTACACCAGCTTCAGTATCAGGGGCCTATGAGCCCTAAAAAATCTAACCTTCTCTGACTTTATATTGCAAATTTTGTGTCGACTTTAATTATTTCATTCAGTCCGACTTTATGAAGTAAAGTACCTCTTTCATTGTATCTGAATATTCGATAACAACAAACTTATTAGACCTTTTCTGAGATAGCAGTTTGTATAATACACTATAGTCTAGATTTGGTACAAACATCTTTTGTTCATGTTGCCAAATATTGAGTTTTTTGTGTACTGAACCTCAACTAAAATTCACCATGATTTTGTATTTCAGAAAAAAAGGTGTTTGGGCCAGTCAATTTTCCTCATCTTCAAAAATATGTATATGCTAATTCATCTTCTGAAATAATGAAATAACGAAACAGAAGACACTAGCCACATACATGTGGAGCATAGAGTTGTCATTGCTGAAGAATATCATTCTCATACGCCATATTTAACATCTCATGCTGATTTGTTGGCTGTTGTTGCCGAATATTTCGAGTTTTGACGGTCCCTATTTTTGCAAGCATTTGAATGAATCCGTGGCGAAAATTTTGACTGAAAATGAAAACAATACATGGATTGACGGCCGCATTAGAGCTTAAACAGAAAGATGCTACGTCGCCAAACGTTATTAAAAAGCAAGTTGGAGGCGTGCCGTCATTATAGACGAATAAGTCCATGAATTTCACCACGTAAACAGGAATGTACGATATTACGAACGTTACGATTATCGCAATCGCCATTCGTACAATCTTTCGCTCTCTCTCAACTCGTTGCCGCTTTTGTCGATCACTGAGCGAGTCACCCAAATGGGAAGACTGTCTCTTGAGACTCACGATGATAATGGTATACGCAACAGCCATCACAACAACAGGTATTGCAACCAGAAGGAAGAACAGGGTAGAATAGTGCTTAATCTCAAAGCTTGCAGCAAGTTCCTCATCAATTTTATACCATAGAGCAAGACATTCATCCACCCCGTCGATGTTTCTTATTTCAAATATGTACAAATAGATCGAGAACATACTCATTCCTACCAGCCATGTAGCAGTGACTGATACCTTACATGTTTTGCTTGACATAATGTAGTGTTTCATTGGATAAACGACTGCAATGAATCTATCGATAGTGATGAGAATCAAGCTTAGAATCGAAACGGCAATTGTAACACCCCCAAAAAAATGCACAATCTTGCATAACAGATTCCCGAGTGCCCCTTTCACTAACCATTCGCTGGATTGCGTGGAAAGCAACAATAATTCCCTACTGACAACAAGGATTGGGATAATTAGGTCGGATATGGCCATGTTCAGGATGAAGTAGTTGGTCGGTTTCTTCATGTTCGTGTTGCTAAGGATGACAGCAGGAATGAGAATGTTTCCAATCAACGATACGACAAGAATAACTGAATACGCTATCATCTTGATAATTCTTTCTTGCTGGTTGGTTGGTTTGCTGGTCAGGACAGTATGGCGGAATCGTTGGTAGTTTTGAGGGATTATACCGAGTACCATTATTGCTGTTGTTGACCATGGTAGTTGCAGTTGAGGTAACTGTTGTCATGATCGTCGTTATAGGAACCGCTGTTGTAGAAGTAAGAGCAGCCGTGAACAAATTATTCATCTTTGAAGGTGAAATACTCTGTCAGGTTTGGAAAGTCTCTCAGAGACGTTTGGTGCCAGATTGCCTCCAGTTAGACAAGCAACGAATGACCCTTTGGCAAGACAACCAATATCATGAGAAAAGCACAAATTGGAAAAATCGATATTGGCAAATAAATGTAATAAAGCTTTCGCGTGCCAATTTTGCATTTTCAATTTCAATTAAGTTTATTCTAATATCCATGTTAGTTTCAGAAGGATAAGCCTTCGTTGATACAAGAAACCATAATGAA